TTACTATAAAATATATCTGAAAATGTGGAAGTAATTTTGGAATTACATAATGGGTAGAAACTATAAGAATTTGGAGAAACAAGCTATAAATCTTCTATTGTGGTGAACAGAATGTTAATGAAGGTTCTGATGAGGACTCCAGAAAAGACTAGAGAAAAGCCTGGAATTTCTTAGAGATTACTTATGTGGTCATGAACAGTGTTGATAAAAATAAGAACACAAAGGCCATCATGATGAGGCCTCATGGAAATTATGAAGAAGGTATTAGAAACTGGAATAAAAACCATCCTTGTTATATAGTTGCAAATAAGTTTGCAGAATTATTTCTGTGCCCTAGTACATTATGGAAGGCATAATTTGTGACAAAGTAGTATATCTTGTAAAAGAAATTTCTAAGCAAAGCCAAGCTGCTGCCCAGCCTCTTTTAACTGCATAGAGTAAGATGCAGGGTGTGTGTGTGTGTGTGTGTGTGTGTGTGTGTGTGTGTGTGTGTATTTTAGTTTTCAGCTCCTTTGGATAGATACCAAAGAACATGATCATTTGGTAAGAATGTGTAGTTTTGTAAGAAACTGCCAAAYTGTCTTCCAAAGTGGCTGTACCATTTCCACCAGCAGTGAGTGAGTTCCTTTTGCTCTACATGCTTACCAACATTTTGGTGGAATTGGGGAGTTCTGGATTCTGACCATTCTGATAGGTGTGTAATTGTTTCTCTAATTGCATTTTCCTCGTAGCATATGATGTAGAGCATCCTTTTATGTGCTTATTTGCTATCTATATATCTTCTTTGGGAGCTGCCTGTTTAAAGTCTATGATCTATTTTTTGGGGAGGATACTAGGGATTTAACTGAGGGGTACTCGAACACTGAGCCACATCCCCAGCCCTATTTTGTATTTTATTTAGAGACAAGGTCTCACTGAGTTTCTTAGTGCCTCACTCTTGCTGAGGCTGGCTTTGAACTTGCGATTCCTGCCTCAGCCTCCCAAGCTACTGGGATTACAGACATGCGCCACTGTGCCTGGCTTTTGATATATTCTTAAGTGAATTGTTTGTTTTTTACTAAAATTTTTTTAGTTGTAGATGAACAGAGTACCTTTATTTTATTTATTTACTTTTATGTGGTGCTAAGGATCAAACCCAGTGCTTCACATGTTCTAAACAAGTGCTCTGCCACTGAGCTATAACCCCAGTTCTATATTCTTTTTTTAAATTACTTTTACGTGACAGTAGAATATATTTTGAAATATTATACAGACATAGAGTAAGTATAATTTGTTTCAATTAGGATCTTATTGTGGTTGTACATTATGTGGATTTACATTGTTTGTGTATTTATATTTCAGGATAGGAAAGATTCTGATTCATGTCTTTCCTATTCCCATCCCCTTCCCCATCCCTTCCCTTCATTCCCCTTTGTTTAGTCCAGTGAACGTCTGATCTTCTCCTCCCTTGTGGGTTAGCATCCACATATCAGAACATTCTGCCTTTGATTTTGGGGGGGACTGGCTTATTTCAATTAGCATGATACTCTCCAGTTCCATCCATTTACCAGCAAATGCCATAATTTCATTCTTCTTTAGGGCTGTAGTATTCCGTTGTGTATATGTATACCACATTTTCTTTTTGCTCATTCATCTGTTGAAGGGCACCTAGGTTGGTTCCATAGTTTGACTATTGTGAATTGAGCTGCTATATTCTTAGTTTTAGTTTTAAGKAGGATCTTTTTAAAAATTTTTATAATTTGGACAACAGTTCTTTTCTGGTATGTCTTTTGCAAATATTTCCTCTCTGACTGTGGTTGCCTTTTCATTCTCTTAACAGTATCTTCTGCAGAGCAGAATTTTTAATTTTCCTGAAGTCCATGTTATTGATTCTTTCATGGATTTTTGTCTTTAATATTGTGTCTGAAAAACCATTGACAAAGAAAGGTCATCTAGATTTTCTTTTGTTATCTTCTGGGAGTTTTATAGTTTTGTGTTGTGCTTTTTAGTCTGTGATCCACTTTGAGTTAGTTTTTTTGTAGAATGTAAGTTCTACGTCCAGATTTATTGTTTTTTGCATGTGGATGCCCAATTGTTTCAGCACCCTTTGTTGAAAAGACTTATTTTTTTCCATTGTATTGCCTTTGTACTTTTGTCAAAAATTCATTAACAATTCTGTGAGTCTGTTTCTATCTCTGTGAACTAGATTCCTTTAGATACTTCATAAAATTAGAATCATACAATATCTGCCCTCTTTGAGACTGGCCTATTTCATTAACAAAATGTCTTCATGATTCTATTATGTTGTAGCATGTATCAGAATTTCATTCTGTTCTAAGGTTAAATAATATTCCATTGGGTGGATATATTACACTTTGTTTATCCATTCATTTGTTTATGGGCATTTGGGGCATTTCTGTTTTAGCTATTGTGAACAATCCAAGCATGAGAGTGTCTGCTTTTGATTCTTTTGAATATATACCCAGAAGTGGAATTGTTAGAATAAATGATAATTCATGTTTAATTTTTAAAATAGCTGTCATATTGTTTTCCACAGCAGTTGTACCATTTTATATTTCTACCAACAAAGTGCAAGTTACATTTTGCCAGTTCTCTTTATCATTGTCAACACTTGTTTTCTGGGTTTTTGTTGTTGTTGTTGTTGTTGTTGTTACTATAGTCATCCTAATATATGTGAAGTGGTATCTTACAATGGCTTTGATTTGCATTCCCACTAGTGATTAGTGACGTTGAACATCTTTTCATGTGCTTATTTGCCATATTTTTTATCTTCCTTGGAATAATGTCTATTCTAGTCCTTTGTCCATTTTAAAATCTTGCTGTTTGCTTTTTGTTAAGGGCTTTGCTTTCTTTTTTGAAAAACACCTCTACTAATGTTTGTTGATTTGATGCAAGTATACTCTTAGATCTCAAGTAGATAGACCTATGAATGAAAATTAATCAATTGCTTACCTTGACACTTTAAAGACCATAATAATAGGAAAAAGATACTAAGATTCAGAGAAGGGAGTACATATAATAAGGATGAGAGGGTAGTATTTGAGAAAAATCTTTTAAAAAGGATTCGGATTTGGATATTCAGTGATGACAATAGAGTGTGTGTGTGGCAGGGGGGGCAGGGGGGCCTTAAAAACAGAGGAAACAAGCACAGGGAGTAGAAGGCATATTTCAAAAAAAAAAAAAGTTCAGTTTGGATAGCAACAGTAATAACTGTTTGGCAGTATCGATCAGTGTTAAAGATGCAAATGTTCTTATATCCATCAACTTTCCATACAGATATATTTGTGGAAATAATCCACTGCATTGTTATTGCAACAGCATAAAAATAGAAATAAAGTACTAATGAAGAAGGGATTGGTTTCTTTATGAAAAGAAGGTACAGGGCCTGGAGTTGTAGCTCAGTGGTAGAGTGCTTGCCTGGCACTTATGAGGCACTGGGTTCAATCCTTAGTACCACATAAAAATAAAAAGTAAATAAAATAAAGGAATTGAGTCCATCTACAACTAAAAAAAAATTTAAAAAGAAGGTACAGATGTATGTATAGTATGATCTTACTTGGAAACAGGATGGCTGTGGGCAGATGGACTATTTCTGGAAGAATGCCAATAAATTATTGATAGTGGTTTCACACTAGTGTTGGGATGGCATGTTTTCCTTCAAGGACATTTGAAGAAATGAAAACTATTTTTAAAGACCCATAGAGCTTATAATTCACAGCTCTGGGTTCTTTCAGTTATTTATTGCTGTCTCTACATAATTTTGATGTCAGGGGTAGGAGGATGGAGGTGAACTGAGAAGATGAAAATATGTTTTTTCATCTGTATTAGTCCATTTTTCTTTACTATAATAAACACTTGAGGCTAGATACTTATAAAGAGGTTTGTTTAGCTCATGGGTCTGGGGATTGAAAGTCCAAGCAGCATAATGCCAGTTCAATGAGAGTTCCCTAGACCATATCACCTTACAGTAGATGGTACCACAATGGTAGGAGCACATGTGAGAGGGAAAGATCACACGGAGAGACAGGAAACAGAGTAGGAAAGAGGGACCAATTTGGAATCTTCCARTAGGCCCTACTTCATAAAGGTCCTATCACCTTTCAACAGTATCACATTGTGAACCAAGCTCCTGACATAAGAATCCTCAGGGATACCCTCAAATTATCTGAAAACCATAGTATTATCAAGTAGATTATGAATTAGACTTTTTAAAAATGTTGATTTACTGCCCTTTGGAGTATTTCTAAAGGAAAATATTCATTAAAATAAGCCTTTATAACTACATGTCCAGAGATTAAAATAAACCAGGCAAACAAATAATGCATTTCTTAAATTTTATTTAAAAAATGATAAAATGAAAATACATTGAGGAATGGCTAGGAGATGAATTTTCAGTAGGCAAAAACAGTCACTAACTTGACCTTACATTTTTWAAAAAAAGTGTAACAGTAAATTTGTGGTTTTAAATGACTTGGCAACTAAGATGTTTTTGTTAATTTGGATGCCATAGCAAGAATAAGCTGTTTTCTGATAATTTTGTGACTCCTGGGAAATATGTGTTACCAAGTAAAAGAATACAAGAATTAGGATGCTTGGTAACTGTGTTCTCATTTTTAGACAGCACATGTACATCATAGCTGATAATTATTTTCTTTCCACATTGATGGACACAGTTGTCAGTTATTTAAAGCAAGATTTCATTGCTTGCTTTCTTCTTTTATGTTGTAAACTTTTAAGACAAAAATGTTATTTAATGATCTTTGTGATTCCAGCAAATTGCTTCTAATTTGTAAAAATATAGGATTAGTAGATAGATGATGAAAGTGCTTCTTAAAGAAAATTCAGGTTCAATTGCCTCAGGTGGGTGGATAGAAGTGGGGTGGGTAGCTTTAGTACAAATTTGACTTCAGTTCCCTATAGGGAGAATTTTGTATGTTTTTCAGTTAATAGATTTTTGTATCTTGAAATTTTCTACTTAATGCAGTGTTTGTTTCTTTAAGGTATGGCCTACGTGAGTTTGTGGTGATTGCTCCTGCTGCACACAGTGATGCAGTTCTCAGTGAATCTAAGTGCAACCTTCTTCTGAGTTCTGTTTCTATTGCTTTGGGAAACACTGGCTGGTAAGTGGACATTTTGATAAACCTAGACAATAAGCTAAAAACTATTTTTAGTGATAATTTATGAAGGTAAATGACTAAATGATACTTTTTTATTAAAAATAGAAAACTAGTATATATACTTACATATTGTTTTAATGGAATTTGGTATATAAGGACAGAATTAAGACCTTTTTAAAGTTCATTTCTAAAGGAAATTATATTAAAGTATTCAACGCATACTTGAAATGAAGAATAAATTATATTAGTTTTTTGCTTTGCTTTCACAAATTTAGTTTATTAAATTGTACTTCAGTATCTAATTTTAAATTTTGAGGATAAATTGAGACAAGTTTTGGAGTAACTTTTCAGAAACTTATTTTTAAGTGCTTTTAGACCCTATTCTTAAATGGAAGTATTTAACAACATGGAACTTGCTTAATTGTATTTCATTTGCATATCAAATATACTACAAGATTCAAAATGTAAACTTGCTAGAAAAAAAATGTATTAGAGTGTATATAATTCATAGTATACCCTACAGGAATAATCTAGACTTTTCTAAATGAAAGGAACGACTAAAATATTTACTAACGTAGCAATATTAACTTGGGAATGTATTTATATAGCCTGTTCTTATTATTCAAGGTAGTTATGTTTATAAAGTAATCACACTGAATTATTAAAACCTGAACCATTGCTCCTGGGAGAAATACCTGGTTTTATGTTTTTTTCTGTTTATTTATGTTTATTTTTTTTTATTCATTCTTTTTCGTTATACATGACAGTAGAATCCATTTTGATAAAATTATATAAGAAGGGATTATATCTTACTCTAATTAGAAGCCCATTCTTGGTGAGATTCACTTAGATATTTTCATAGATGTACATAAGAAAATTCCATCAGATTCATTCTGCTGTCTTTTCTATTCCTATTCCCTCCTTCCCATCATTCCCCTTCATCTAGTCTACTAAACTTTTCTACCCACCCCATTTTATTGTGGTTTAGCTTCCACATATCAGCAAAAACACTTGACCTTTGGTTTTTAAGATTGGCTTATTTCACTTAGCATGATAGTCTCCAGATCCATTTCCTAGAAAATGTCAAAAAGTCATTCTTCTTTATGGCTGAGTAAAATTCCATTGTGTATATATATCCTAATTTCTATATCTGTTTATCTGTTGAAGGGCATCTAGTTTGGTTCCACAGCTTAGCTATTGTAAGTTGTTCTGCTATAATACAAATTATTGATTTAGTAGGATTGAACTCGAAGCCAATATCCCTATATTCTCATCCAGAATGAAACTTGCCTAACACGTGATTCTGTCTATATGACATATCACTGAGCTGGGGTTGTAGCTCAGTGGTAGAGCACTTGCCTAGCACATATGAGGCACTGGGTTAGATCTTCAGCATTAATAAAAATAAATAAAATAAAGGTATTATGTCCGTCTACAACTAAAAAAAAATAGACATATACATATCACAATTTTCTTGTACTTAGGAACACTATACCTCCAGAACTATGCTTGGATTTTAAAGATTTGAAATCATCAACAAACACACACATGATACTAAATAGATCATGAAAAGGATACTTGTTTACAGTCAGTTTAAACAAGAAGGCAGAACATTAACTTAAATTCAGCTGAGAATATGCATTGTTAGGTGACTAAAAATTTTGAAGTTCAGCATATGTCTATAAATTTTCTGTGAGTATTGATTTTGGAGTGACAAATAAATTTAGTAAGTAGGCAACTTTGCAATTATTAAAATCGGAATGATGAGGATCAACTCTACATGATAGTGAGAAATATTTATCACGAAGTTGATTTAATTTGAATCGTTTAATACTTGTGAATCAGGTTTTAATATGAAATTGGAAAGACTAATATGATACAATTGCTGTTACTCAAGAAATTTTTCATGCTGGTTTTTATGACTTTTACCCATTTTTAAACAGAAAAGTTTCAGACTCAAGTACCACTAGAAGATAGTTTCCAGTTTATTAGCGTAAAGAGAACAGGAACTATAAGTATCTTTGTGGTAAATGAGAATCTACTTTTAAATATTTGAGATTAAAATGACACAGGAAAAATTTTAAGGTTTAGGAGTTATTCAATGTTTAATGAACTTGTATTTTATTCCTATTTAATCACCTGCAGTCAAGTACCACTCTTTGTGCAAATTCATCATAAATGGCGAAGAATGTATGTTGGAGAATGTCAAGGTCCTGGTATCCGAACTGATTTTGAAATGGTTCATCTTCGAAAAGTACCAAATCAGTACACTCATTTATCGGGTCTACTGGATATCTTCAAATCAAAGATTGTAAGTTGGCATTGATGTTGTCGGTCTTACTTCAGAGCCAGATAAAAGTGGTAGTAATTTGAACTTATAGAAACATTTCTCTACACTATCAATAATGTAATTGATTAGAAGAAAACTAGAGTATGTTTAAATAAATAAAATGCCCAATTAGGAACTAATTTTGTTTGTTCAGTCTGTTAATATTTATTGCCTGTGTTTCACTCCTTGTCCTCTAAGTGTTGTTGACAGTCTTCCCAGCTAAGTGGCTTCAGGTGGCTGCTTGTTTGGGGCATTGACTATGAGTGCTTCCTTTGAGTTCTGAATTATTTTTTTCAAGTCGTGATTTGATTTTTTGGTTTAATCTCTTCTATATTCTATGACTGAGACCTGCAGGGCTAACTGGGATGTGCTGAATATCTTTCGTGTTCTATAMAAACACTGTCACAGAAATATCGAGGAGTTGCAAATGCTGCTTTTGGGGAAAAATTAGGATTTTGAGGGTTAAAAGTTGACACCATCTCATATAAGTGATCAAATTTGATTAACAAATTGACATCAATAATGTTTTATGTATGTTAAAAAATTAATTAAAACAACAAACTAATATGTGTTTCCTGACATAACACTGAACAGCATACATCATAACCTGTGTTGCATTCTCTTTTTAAAAAAAAAAAATTATTTTTTAGTTGTAGTTGGACATAATACCTCCATTTTATTTGTTTTTTATATGGCGCTGAGGATCAAACCCAGGGCCCCACTCATGGTAGGGGAATGTACTACCACTGAGCCACAACCCCAGCCCCCTGTGTTGCATTCTTGCCAAAATGTTTACCATTAATTGAATGAGGAAACCATGACATATTTTGAAGGGAGCACTAAAATGTCAGTATCTTCAAAATGTCAGTGGTAGGCAAAATAAAAGCTGAGAGCTGTTTAAAAATTAATGATGGGGCTGGGATTGTTGCTCAGCGGTGGAGCACTCGCCTAGCACGGATGGGACCCGGGTTTGATCCTCAGCATCACACAAAAATTAAAGGCATCGTGTTGTGTCCATTTACACCTAAAAAATAAATATTAAAAAAAATTAATGATGCATGACAGCTAAATGCAATGCATGATTCTTGACTGGATACTTGATCAAAATAATATAGCCATTAAGGACCTGATTTGGGATAATTGAGACAATTTTAAAATCAACACAGTCTACTAGAAAATAGTATCAATGTTAAACTGTGTTATGTTTATGTAGGGTAATGTCCTTGTTCTTAGGAATTATTGAAGTGTTTGGGGATGAACTGTCATGATGCCTTACAGCTTTACTTTAAAAAGTTTCAGCCAAAAAAAAAAAACCACACATGCATATGTGTTAATAATTGAAAAACTTGGTGAAAGTCATATGGTGTTCATTATATTGCTTTTTTGAAGGTTCTCAAATTTTTTAAAGGAAAAAAATGTGAAAAGATTACTGGAATTTCTTTTAGCAATTATTGTTTGTTAGAAAGACATTTAGAATTTGAGCTGGAGATGTGGTCAGTGTTAGAACTTACCTAGCATGCATGAGGCCCTGGGTTTTATCCCGCGCGTGCACGAGCACACACACACTCCCCCAAAAAAAGAAAGAAAAGAAAAATGTGTTTTTAGTGTAGTGGTATGATTACACCATCTAAAATGTAATGTAATCTAAAAATATGTAATGTGTGTACCAAGTTAGGAAACTTAAGTAAAACTTCCTTTTACCCTCTCCCCTCTCTTCAAAAGAACTACTGTTAGTTTCTTGTGATTATCTCCAAAAAAATTATCATAGCAACATATGCTTTTGAACATGTCAGATATGTGTGTAATTTTGTTTTTAAAAACTTTCTGGGCTCTGAAGTATATAATACTGCTGAATTCTGTCTGGATTATTTTGGAAAATTTTTTGGAAAGTCAAGTATGCATTAATTTCAACTCCCAGTTTTCCCTTTCTTTCATCAGATATCATTAGTTATATTTAAACTTTTAAAGTCAAATTTCTGGTCTGATGCAAATATTACTTTATTCCTTCCTCTTAAGAAAGCATTAATGAACATTACTTTCAGGTCTTTTTTGTCACCCCTTTATATAGTTCAACTTTTTTATTTTGTTATAGGGACTACCTTGATCTGGGGAGCATGACTCAGATTTTGACTATTTGCTGATTGTACTTTCAGAAGTGTTCCTAATTAGTTGTCACATCATCTGTCCGAATTTTAAACAAATTCACTCTTCTAATATGAAATCTTTCTCAAAATTAATTTGAGGGCTGTGGCTGTGGCCCAGCAGTAGAACACTTGAACACTTGTGGAGGCCCTGGGTTCGATCCTCAGCACCACATAAATAAAAAATAATAAATAAATAAATAAAGGTATTGTGTCCATGTTATAACATATATATATATATATATATATATATATATTTTTTTTTTTTTTAATTGATTTGAGACTGGGGATTTAGTTGGTAGAGTTCTTGCCTGAAACGTACAAGGCCGTGGGTTCAATCCTCAGTACCACAGGGGAAAAAAAATTGAGAGGAATGGAGCTTAAAATAATTGACACCTGGTTTGAGTACTTTGACGTTTTCTATACAGTTAAAGCTACTCTGTATGTGACTCTTTTTTTTTTTACTATCTTTATAAAACTGTCTTTATGAAAAGTATTTTTCAGGTTGGAGATGTAGATCAATTATAGAACGCTTGCTTAGTTGGCATGCATAAGGCCCTGGGATCAATCCTCAGTACCATTTAAAAAAAMCAAAAAACCCACTGCTTTTTAACATCTACTTACATGCCCCAGGGCAGTCATCTTCATTGGCAGTTTATTTCATTTCACAAAGATCTAATTCTTAGAAAAGGTTTCTTTTTGAGGGACCCAGTTTTTCTATTTGTAGTCACATAAAGGCAAGTTTTAATCCTCTTCTGCCACACTCTAGATATTAAAAACTCAAATCTTTTTCAACTTAAATACTTAGTCTTGTAGATTTCCTCATATTTCAGTTTTATAACATGATTGTTGATTTGAATAGTTGTCTCTTAAAACTTCAATTTTTTTCCCCTATTCTGGGGACATTTTGTAGACTCATTTTGAATGTTTTATTTAATTTTTTTTTTACTTTCACTCATATCCATCTGATGATCTTATTGGTTGTTGCCTACCTACATAGTACATTTCAGAACAAAAGTGGTGTTTGGAGTCTCTTGCTCTGTAGTGATGTTGGGTCCATTTCATATATAGCATTAGAATCTTCTATTGTTTGTTCATGTGTGAAAGTGACTTTTCCCTCTCTCACACAGTAATCCACTCCCCCTCCACACACAAACACACACAGAGAACGTCCATAACTTCTAATAAAGCCACAGTGCCAAGTAGGAATACCCTGCCCAGTCTCTGACTTAAGCAAAGAGGCATGCAATGCCCTTATTCTGGTTATAGTCCTTTGGTTCCTTGCATCTAATGCAGTCTGTATCTTATGCTGTCGTTTTCTTTTATACCTCTAGCTCAGTAGGCTTGTGCTTTGAGGCCCACTATCCCCTTGGGTTTTTGTACCTTTTCTAGAGTCCACAAAGACATTTATGTCATGTCTAATCCTGGCTGTTTCTTTGCTAATACCTCTCTATATTTGTCCACATTGTTTTGTGACTGGAGCAGAGGTTATTTATCAAAGTGACGTTGTTATGGTTTCTAGACAAATTACACTTTATTATGTGCTTGGGCTCTCTCGTCCAGCGAGGAGGTCCACGGAACCAGGTAGATCAGAGTGTGACTGTATATTTGATAATCAAGACCTTTGGAGACCAAGCAGGAAGCAGGTCTGATTTTATTGTGCAGTTACCATGTATATAGAAGCAGGCAGCAGCTAAGCAGATTACTGGCAGCCACCAATGCAATTTCTACTAACTGCCATTGCAGCGACCAGTCAAGGAGTGAGCCTTGGAGGAAGCACAGGGACTGCAACACATGGCCTCACACCCAGGGCTGTGCCTACAGGGTAAGCGGCCTGCCACTCATGCACCTAGCATGAGCAGAGCAGCCTGCCACTCAGACGCCCTTAACATATGCCATGTATGCAGTACTCCATGCACTTGTCCCAACAATTATGGGTCAAAGTTCATTTGATATCTGGGCCTGACTAAAAAGATGACATCTTACCCTGCTTGTCTAGGACACAGCAGCTTAAAATTGGATTCGGGGTTTTTTGGGTTTTTTTTTTGGGGGGGGGAGTGGGGGTAGACACCTTATATTGTGACTTAAGAATGAGCTTGTATTCAGTTAAAGCTACCTGTGACATTTGTAGATGCTGCTGCTGAGCTAAATGTCACTTTTTACTTTGCTACTTAACTTAAAATCTCCAGACCAGAAACATTAGCAGCACTTGTAAACTACTTAGATATTGAGAAAGGTATTCCATCTGTATTTTCACAAGATCCCTCAGTGATTGCTATACCCATTTAAGTCCAGTTCTACTAATGTATGTTAAACATTATGAAAGGAAGCTGAGATCATGGATAGTATTAATAGATAGTATTAATTTTCTATAAAAATTAATAGATAGTATTAATTTTTATGATTTTTAGTGAATTAAAGATAAATCTAAATCTTATTAATTGATTCACTGACCTATCAATTTTGCATGAATATCTATTAGTTTGTTTTAGTCTAAAATTCTGGCAAAATGTTCCAGACTGGCTTTAATTTGTGTTTATTCTCATTTAAAAGAAAGACTATCTCCCCAAACCTAACACTTTTAAATAGTTTTACCTTATTTAAAAAACAGATCACCCCCCCAGTCAGTATGTGAAATGAATAGTAAAAAACTGTAAAAGGTATTTTGAAAGATCATTTTGCTTAATATCCTTTCCTGGTAGAAGTGTAAACAACTTTATTTTAAAGTAATTTGTTCTCTGGCTTTAAAAAAAAAAAAAAAAAACCTAGTGTTGTGTATGTGTGTTTTGAGATGGGTTCTCATTGAGTCCTAGATGGGCCTCAAACTACTGGACTTGAGCAATCTTCCTGCCTAAGGATCTTGAATAGCTGAGACTATAGGTGTACCCCCACATTAAAGCATTCCCCCTCTTTTTATAGCTACACAGCCTTTTCATCAAATGAAAATATTTGTGGAAGCAGTATGAAAAAATTGTAGAGATCCTTGTATACACAAATATGTGAACAAATATGCAGTGATTCATTCTTTCATTTATTTATTTTAGTTGTAGTTGGGCACGATACCTTTATTTTATTTATTTTTATGTGGTGCTGAGGATCGAACCCAGGGCCTTGCACATACTAGGCAAACGCTCTACCACTGAGCCACAACCCCAGCCCCTATACAGTGATTCTTTGCAGAGTTTACTTTTCCTTTTTTTTTTTTTTTTAAACCGGGTCTAACATTTGCCAGTACTGTTCCTTACATTAGGGTCTTCCTTCCTTTTTTTTTTTTTTTTTTTTTTTTGAGAGTGGAAAGTAGAAGGCTTTATTAAAGGACAGCAGAAAAGACTTCTCTCCGGAGGAAGACGAAGACCTGAAAGGGGAGTCTTCTTTCTAGATTTCCTAAATTCTGCACCTTTGGTCTAATAACTTGAGTGATTTACTTTTTCATTTTAACAACTGGATTATGCACACTATTGTTTAATACTATATGCTGAAAATACTGGTTTCCAAAAGGCAGTATTTTAGCCATTCCATAAGTTTGAAATTTTGATGTTGAAGGGCCTCATCATTGACCCAGTATTGTCTTTTCATGTATCTCCTAGGGATGTCCTTTAACTCCATTGCCTCCAGTTAGTATTGCTATTCGATTTACCTATGTGCTTCAGGATTGGCAGCAATACTTTTGGCCTCAGCAACCTCCAGGTGAGTTCATTTAGAACTGTATTAAATTATTGAATATAAATGGAAAAGAAAATATATTCAAAAATTAAAATTACTTAACAATGCTTCCAGTGTTTTACATGGAAATATTTGTAATTTTTTTTTTGTACTGGGGATTGAACCTATGGACATTTTACTACATTCTTAGCCCTTTTTATTTAATTAATTAATTWATTTATTTTTATTTTGAGACAGGGTCTGGCTGATTTGCTTAGGGCCTCACTAAGTTGCCAAGATTGGCCTTGAACTTGCGATCCTATTGCCTTAGTCACCAGAATCGCTGAGATAATAAGTGTGTGCCATTGCACCTGGCTTGTAATTAATTTTAAATATTGCTGATTTCATTGCTTTTATGATTTTTTTCTTTCAATAATTTTTTTCTTTTAATGCTCTATAGATTTTCTAGTTAGCATTACTCTGTATTTGACAATTTGTCTTCAAAAGCTATTATTTATAAAGCACCCCATGTGCTATTAATTACTGTGTAGTGAATGATTTTAAAAAAATGTCTGTTTTAGAGTATAATGAGAGAAACCATCCTTGTAAACCAGCAGGCAGAAAACCTTAAAGAGTATAGTTTGAAGAGTGCTAAATAAAGAAAGGAGAGAAGAAAAATATGTATGTATATACACACATTTGTGAGGAAAATAAAATTTTACTTGCATTTTATAAAAATATAATGCTTACTCATTGATGAAGTTAATTCATTCAATAATCATTCATTATTAGCCTTTAATAGGCCAAGCTGTATCAATGATACAAATATAAATAAGACATTGCCTAAGTGTTAGCAAAGCTCAGCCTGATGGACATACATCTTAATGAAGTTAGTCTGATTCCTGGATATGTATTTCRTCTGAGTTTAATTATATTCAAGCTCATCTAATAAGAAATTTAATACAAACTTATAAGTAATCATAAGGACTTCACTAGCTTAAAAACATTTTTCAGTCTGCTTTCCCCAAAGAGAAATAATATTCTTTCCTGTTTATTATTTTCTCAAGTAGTTGGTTACTTATAGGAATAAAAGTAATATTTGAAAGGGATAATGTGAAAGAACTGCATCTAAACTATAGCAAAGGGAAATAAAAGCTAAGCTTTAGAATTATATTAGTCTTAAGACTAATTACTTAAGACTAAATTACCAACTGTGTATGTTGGTAATTTTAGTTCCCAGACAATACCCACTGGACAATTTGTAGTCAATTGCTTGATGGAAGTTTCCGTTCCAGCTCTCCTTTCCCTTTTTTTCCAAGGTCATTCTGTTATTAAGCATTTTTAAAGATTTCCCAAGGTAGAGGCGGGGGGGGGGTGTATCTCAGTGGTGGAGTGTGTGCTTGGCATGCATGTACAAGAACCTGAATTTATTCTCTAGTGCCTGCATGCGTTTGCACACTGGCACACACACAGAGACACTTGCATCTTGCTGGAAAAAGACAAAGTTTTTGGGAGGTGGTGTATCTGCTGCTGATCTAAGAAGTCCAAGGGCTAAAATCTCAGCATTATAATTCTGATTCAGTAAGGTCTTTGTTAATATTCTGTTGCCAAGATTTTTAAAATTGGGAATAAAAATAATAATTTCCCTCAGAGGATTAAAGGCCATATAAATTCTTAATATTTACTTTCTAAGGGGAAGGCTGACATGTAATGTGGGCTAGATGCTGCGCTTGGCATTTTATATAATGTTTTATGTAATTCTCATTTAACTATGAAGTAGGAATTATGTTTCTTAGAGGTTGTCAAGAACAGTGAGTTAATAACCTAATGTCTTATGGTCACAAGATCATAAAGTTTGCATTGACCCACTAGTCAAACTCAAATTCCCTTGTATTTTTTTACTCTCAATCTGTAATTTGGTTAATACATTCGTGCAGTTATATTTTAGTAATATTTTTAACTCACTAGTTTATAAAAATGCTTCTTGTCACTTTTTTTCTTTTTATAATTTTGAAGCTCTTAAAAATTCATATCTTACAATAAAGCTAGTCATTGTGATTTGTATTATTGTAAGCATTCTTTAGTTGGGAAAAATGGAATGAATTGGCTTAAGAAAATGTACTGAAGCATTTAATTAATTAAACCATATTAATGACTAATTTTTAGTAATTTAGGGTATAGAAATTGTCAAAGATAAATTAAGCAAATCTGGGAAGTGTTCATAAGTCAATCAAAGACTTTAATTTAGGAATTTGTAGTGTAATGTAAATAATGAAAAACCATCACCTGCGTTATTTCAAAGAGAATTAAATCCTTTTAATGTCTTTTTTTTAAAAAAAATCTTTGTTTTATTTATTTATTTTTGTATGTGGTGCTGAGGATCAAACCCAGTGCCTCACGCATGTGAGGTGAGCGCTCAGCCACTGAGCTACAGCCCCAGGCCCATATTAATGTCTTTTAAAGAAGCATTTATTATTTCTTCAGGAGGAACAGAACTGAGAAGGGTGATTTACCCTCAGTTTTCCCCAGTATCAAGGAGCATTCATAGTGGGAAGAAGGTTCTTTTCTGAACTTCAAATATTTCTGTCAACCAAAATATTTTGTTAATAATGACAGGTTTGCTAATTTGTTATTCAGAAATTATTGATAACAAAACTGACAAATGTACTTTGGTGATTACATTTTTTAATACTCAGATAATCTTTTTAGATTATGTAAATCGCATTCTTAGAATGTGTAAAAGAGTATAGGAATAATATTCTCTTGAGTAATAGTTAAGGAATATTTCAAATGGGCAAAATTGAGAATGCATGGATTGAATGAAACACTGAATAGGAAATAAGTGAATCTTTTTACTTGTTCTCAGGGAGATTCTTTAATACTTGACTGTATGTGTTGTAACATGCTTTAACTTGCAAACAACATATTCTGTGTATTCTTTTATAGGTACTTTTAAAGCTGTCAAAGGGCTTCTTCCAAAGGGCTTAGCCTAACTAGATTAAATCATTGTTACTCTATTTTTTACCAAAGAAGGGAAAATACTTATTTTGTTTAGATATAGATGCACTTGTAGGAGGAGAAGTTGGAGGCCTGGAGTTTGGCAAGTTACCATTTGGTGCCTGTGAAGATCCTATTAGGTGAGAATTTCAGATTATAATTTGAATTATTGTAATTTGAATTATTTTTAAATTTATATTGGTATTGATTTTACCATGCTTTATGATATTGTAGCCTTCTGGAATGAATATAGTACTGGAAATTGGGAACTAACCCCTGTTTTCTTTAATTGATAATATTACATGAAAACTTTCTGATTTTTTTTTTTTTTCTAGTGATGCTAAGGATTGAACCCAGGGCCCTGTGCATGCAAGGCAAGCAGTCTACCAACTGAGCTATATCTCCAGCCCCTGGTATTTTCAAGAGATATAAAAGGAAAAAAGTCAAAAGAACATACTAGAGACTGTACCTGGCTAATATTTACTCTCTAGAGTAGAAAAGGATTTCCAACTCCTGACTATAACATGATTTTTCAAAATTGAGAGAGAATTCACCTACCAAATTCACCAAATGATGAATTTTAATTCATCATTTTAGGGGTTATGGTTTGTAGCTCAGTGATAGAGTACTTGCCTAGCATATGTGAGGCCCTGGGTTCAATCCTCAGCACCACACACACACACACACAAAAATAATAATAATAATAAAATAAAGGTGTGTCCATCTACAAATAAAATTTTTTTAATTCATCATTTTAAAGTGTTTTTGATATCTATAAGAATTTTGCAACCGTTATCACTGATTAATCAGAATATTTTCATTATCACAAAATTTAAAAAAAAATTTTAATTATCATCTGATCTTCAACCATTCACCCACTCTAGCTCTTAGCAAATACTAAACTATTCTGTCTCTACGGATTTACCTATTCTGGATATTTCATATAAATGGAGTCATACATTGTGTGACCTTTTATATCTGGCTTCTTTTACTTAATATGATGTTTTTGAGGTACATCTATGTTGTAGCTTGAATCAGTACTTGGTTGTTCTTATAGCCATAAATATGCCATTGTATGGTTATACTGTGTACCACAATTTTTTTAACCATTCATCAGTTGGTAGATGTTTGGGTTATGTGTACTTTTTGGTTATTTTGTATATATAAGATGATTTTTATATCTGGAAAATATTAACTTCATATGGATGTGCTACCATTGTGCTACCATTTGTTTTTAGTTTATTATACATAACATCACTTTTAACATAAGTATACCTTTGGTTATTTCTAGAAATATGATTGCTGAGTCAGAGGACATATCTATAAATATCAAAGCTTTTGATATGTTTTCTTTATTTTAAGTGAACTCCATTTAGCAACTACGTGGCCTCATTTGACTGAAGGAATCATTGTGGATAATGATGTTTATTCGTAAGTATATTTTAAAAATTTCAGTAGAATAAATCAACTACCAAGTGGTTAGTTATTTTCCATTTTTGTTTATACTAGTTTCTAATAAAGTTGGTTGAAGTTTTTCAAATTCTTAATAGTCGCTTTTTTAGACCTGTTAATATGGATTAGAGAAGCATTTTATGTTGCTGGTTTTTCTTAAGAATAATGAAGCCAGGCATAGTGGCGCATGCCTATAATCCCAGTGGCTCAAGAGGCTTAGGGAGGAGATCTCGAGTTCAGAGCCAGCCCAGCAATGGCGAAGCTCTAAGTGACTCATTGAGACCCTRTCTCTAAATAAAATACAAAAAGGGGCTAGAGATGTGGCTCAGTGGTTGAGTGCCCCATAGTTCAATCCTTGGTACCAAAAAAATAACGATAATAATGAACTTGAATCTTACTGTGTTTTAGCAAAGATGTCTCTAAGTTTAAGATTCAGCATATAATTCTTTTGAATTTTTCTTATAAGAAGCATTTCATAAGTTTGAAGAGATGATGATCATCAGAATGTGTGGGACTAATATTTGATCATTAAATGTTTTTAATAATAAATCATCCGTGCCCTAATTTCTGTGTGTGCAATAATTTGAAAATTATAGCAAATATTCTCCAGGAAGAATGTAGCCAAAGAGGGAGGCAGTCTTAGTATCTTCTCATTTTAGATGCAAAACAGTAAGAGATAGGACACTTTGTTTTCATGAAGTACATTTATTTGTATATTTGCTGATGGTCAAAGTAATATGCAAGCTCTTAATTAGGTCATTTAGGTGGTAAAAAAAAGTGAAACTACTACAGTCCTACTATTTAAATTAGACAATATCTGAATGTTTATATTTTTAAAGTTTATATCCTTTATTTTTTTTATGGCTGCATAGTATGCCATTAGATGGATCCACCATATCAACTTTAGAAAACAGGGTACTTTTGATTTTGTACAGGTTTTTGTAACCTCTCTCTTTGTGTGTGTGTGTGTGTGTGTGTGAACAGTGATAATGATAAACAGGTTGATACAATTCTGCATACTTGTTTTATTCTCCTTCCTTTTTTTATTCTTTTAAAAATGTATTTATCTTGGGGCTGGGGTTGTGGCTTAGTGGTAAAGCACTCGCCTAGAACTTGCAAGGCTCTGGGTTCTATCCTAAGYACCACATAAAAATAAATAAGTAAAAATAAATAAGTATTGTGTCCAACTATGCTGAAAAATTAAATTTTTTAAAAAGTATTTATCTTATTAGGCTATTAGTGTAAATTGCTTATTCAGAACCGTTTTTATATATTTTAATATTTTGATTTTTGGTATTCCATTTATTGGAATTTTTGTTTTGGTCTAAGAACTTGATTTATTAAGATTTTACTTTAAAAAAACTTATTCAAATGGCCATATGTCTGAATAACAGTAAGGTTGAGAAGCAAAATGAACTGCTTTTCCTTCTATAGAATGTTTTTATTAGAATGTATTTTGATAATTTCATGATTCTTGCAGATTGTCATAATTAGGATTTGCTTATTGTTTTGCATTTTAGTGATTTGGATCCTATTCAAGCACCGCATTGGTCTGTTAGAGTTCGAAAAGCTGATAATCCTCAGTGTTTGCTAGGTAAGATGTAATATGTTCCTTTTCTGAAATGCCATCAATCTACCTATTTTCCAAATTGGGAMTACTGAATACATTCTTTATACTTTATTTCACTTATCAAAAAATGTTTTAACATTATGACCTTCTCAGTTAATACCATGTAGAAAAAAAAAAATCTTTGCTGACATCAGTAGCAGGATTTTTATATTGTCTTTCAGTTTTAATGCATCTATACCTCAGAATTTTCCATTACTTTATCACTGTTTTAATTTTTCTTATGCCTTCATATTATTTCTTTACCTTTCTCTGTGGCCTAGTCTGCATCTCCTAGTTAGTAAATCCCTTTTTGTCTTTTGTTATCCTTCTGGACCTGTGGTGTGTGATGATAGGGCATTGATAACAGCCTGCAATTGTATAGAATTGTATCACATCTACAAACCTGTATTTTTTTTTAAAGGAAAAGAGTTGTAAATATACCTTTTATACCTCATGGGGTTATTTGAAGAATTAAGTGAAATAAAATAAGTTTGGGTACTTTGAAAAGTAGTAATTGCTCTTCAGGTTTCATGTCTGGAATTGTCTATTCCTTCTCTTTTTATTGGTGCATCTCTTTTGTGAAGACTTCTTAACCTTGCTCATCCATGTACCTTTCCGAGTTTCCCCCTTATATTTGTACACATAAAAATATTCTATGTCTTCTTTTTGGTCATGCTGCCTTAACTACATATTATCTTATATACTACCATTCAACTGATAGAATTACTAAATATTTATTTATTTATGACAGTTATGATGCATTTCTCTAAAGCATTCTTTTTTGAGCTCTTTATCATTTATCATATGGTGTTCATCAGATGATAATTAGCAATTGTCATTTCACTAATAGTAAAGAAAATTGCTTGCCCGTGGTGAGTTTGGAGACTTAGAGTTGAAATGAAGAGTTTCAGAGTTAGATAGACTCAGGTTTACAACCTGGACCCACCAGTTTGGCCAACTTTTTTAATCTTTTTAAGTCTCAGTAGCCTCATCAATAAAATAGGGAACAGAAATGCACATTTCATAGGATTATTGGGAGAATCAAATGAGATCATGTGTGTGTGTGTGTGTGTGTGTGTGTGTGTGTATCCCAGGTAACACAGTGCCTCTCATATAATAACAGTACAATAAATGGTTTATATTGTTTAATCATTGAATTAATTTTATTATTAAATTTACTTACTAAATTATTTCCTTATATTTTATTATTTCTCATCGATTGACTTGCATAATTACAGTAGACCTTAGAATTCAAAGTATTCTCATTTCAAATTACTGTTCCATGATTTCATCCTACCTTTTTAAGTAACTTTTATGACTAGATAATAAAATTTTCCTACCCTTCTGAAGAAATCTGGAAAATGTTCTAGATTTATTCAGACCTAGTTGATAAATTCTGAAACTTAGATATATACCTTATTTTAGTATTAAAGCTTGTTGTTAAGCTTTAATTTTTGGTGTAAACATACCTCATTGCAGCTCTTTAAAATTTTTCAAACCTCTTTCGACCATCTTATATAAAGGACACATAAAACATCATTAATATGCAACAGAAGTGAAAATATTTTTATCCCACGTGATTTCTTAATCCTCTAGAAATATCATTGTTTGGGGATGTTGGGGATTGAACCCAGAGGCAGTTTACCACATCCCCAGCCCTTTTTTTATTTTCTATTTTGAGTCAGGGTCTCACTGAATTGTTTAGAGCCTCATTTAGTTGCTGAGGCTGTCCTCAAATTTGTGATCTTCCTGCTTCAGCCTCCCAAGGCAGTGGGATTACAGGGATGTACCACCATGCCTTGCTAGAAACATATCTTTTTGAAAGTTTCTTTTTAATGTATATTTTTTAATGGATTCATAGTTCTTATAGGATACAAAGAAGACTACGCACATACATATATTGGTACTGCACATACATATATTGGTACTTATACAATTAAGATAATAGATACTGTTGTCTCATTGAAGCATATAGAAAGTACTTAATATTGTTTGGTACATTTTTTTCCCCCTTTCATTCTAGAAGTAATTCTAAGGAAAAACTTTTTTCAGTATCCTGGTGAGGAGACAGGAAGGAAGAATAAGACTACTTTTGAAATAGTATTAATTTTTTTTTTCTTCAGGAAGAAAACAGACGGGTTTCTTTTCTAGTTAATAGCTAGTTTTCTAGTTAATAGCTTTTATGAGAAGACATGTACTTTAATTTATATGACTAGTTTCTTTCAGTTAAGTGTCAGACATGAGTAACATTTTTTTCTAAATAGGTGATTTTGTCACTGAATTTTTTAAAATTTGTCGTCGAAAGGAGTCAACTGATGAGATTCTTGGACGATCCACATTTGAGGAAGAAGGACGAGGTGACCTATTTTTCTTTTTAAAACATAATTTCAAATATCCTGCCCTATTTTTTTGGCACATTCTCTGGATTTTCATCTATTTTTCTTATTTGGAATTAAGTTGGAAAAGTAAGTTTTGATGGACTAGACAGCTGTCATTTCTTTCTAGACTTTATCTAGAGCTTCTTAATACATTTAGGGCATTTAATAAATTCTTTTCATCCAAAAACATAAGCTATTTTGAAAATCAGGGTTTCAAATATTAAGTCTCCTAGGGAGAAATAAATTGTGTGACATTTTTTCCACTCGTGCTTCCATACAAAGCTGTGTGGACTAAAATGTTATAATTCTGAGACCATGTAATGCTAGAGTAAAGAATGGTTAAAATATTCTATACTCTGACCAATTTACTCATTGCTCTAACCTGCTAAGGTTGGTAATGTATGCATTTCTACTCTTTTTAGAAATTGCTGATATAACTCATGCATTGTCAAAGTTGACAGAGCCAACACCAGTTCCAATTCATAAATTATCAGTTTCAAATATGGTACACACAGCAAAGAAGAAAATACGAAAACACAGAGGTTTAGAAGAGTCACCATTGAACAATGATGTCCTCAATACTATTCTTTTGGTAACGAAATGTCTTATTTTTATATGTCTCTATGTATAACATTTATTCATTATATATTCAGTCGCTTCTATGTGACAAGCACTAGATTGGAAATGTAACATGAATAAAACAAAGTCCCTGGAGAATTATCACTTATTATTGGGAAGAAAGAAAGTAAATAATGGTTGTAATCCCATGTTGTATGTGAAAAGTCAGGCAAAGGGGCAGTGACAAGATAACAGAAGATTCATCTCTGCCTCTGGGCAATGGGAATTAAGGAATGCTTCATGAAGAGAATTGAAGAAGGCTTTTAAAGCAGAGCAACAGCAGAGGCCTGAGAGCATGTTCAAAAGTTGGTATTTTGTAGAGTGCTTCCTTGGGAGTGATCAGGGATGAGGCTGGAGAGATAGCAGGTAACCTGCCATGCTGAAGTGCTGCACTTTATCTTACATTTTATTATTATTTTAAGTAGATGATCGGCATGATCAGAACTGTGTTTTTGCAAGGCTACTTTGACAACAGTCTAGGGAAATCTTTATACTGAGGATTGAAGGAAGGTAGAGGGCTGAGGTGGCTCCTGCTGCAGTTGGAATGGGCTCAGCTTGGAAGCCACATAGAGGTTAATTCTGACTTACTGCATGACTTGGAATAGTCACTTTAGTTACTTCATATCAAATAAGGCTAGCAAAACCTTGCAAGATTGTCATGAAAATTAAAGGACCTTCGACTGCCTGGCATTTAATAGTTCTTAGATAAATTATAGCTATGCTTATTGTAATTATAATTATACTTCTGGCAGTTTGTGCATTAAGATAATCTTGGGGAAAACTTTAAAAAGTAATGAGAATACCGGACTTTGGAACATCATGTTAATCTTGGTAGACATCTTACAATTTACCTCAACAAGGCTCTTTAGCCAAATTTTTAGTTCTTGTACATTATAAAATATAGGCAGTGATATTTAGTTCACAGTGGTATGAGAATAGGATAATGTTTTAAGTGTGCCTAGTATTGGCATTAAGCACATTAGTAGTTCCTCAAATCTTCAAAATTCTGTTGAGTATCAGTTTTTAAAAATGAACTCTGATAAAAGGAGTGAAAACAAAAAGGCTTCCTGAAGATTATATTCTTAGAGATTTTATTCAAATTATAAAACTCAGATGTCATATACACTGAATTTTTTTAATACTTGGTTTATTTCTTTTTTATGTATATATTTCTTTTTTATGTATATATGACAGCGGAATGCATTATTTTACATATAGAGCACAATTTTTCACATCTCTGGTTGTATACGAAGTATATTCACAGCAATTCATGTCTTCATTACCTGTACTTTGGATAATAATGATCATCACATTCCACCATCATTAATAACTCCATGCCCCCTTCCTTCCCCCTCCAACTCCTCTGCCCTATCTAGAGTTCGTCTATTCCTCCCATGTTCCCACTCCCTATCCCACTATGAATCAGCCTCCTTATATCAAWGAAAACATTCAGCATTTGGTTTTTTGGGATTGGCTAACTTCACTTAGCATTATCTTCTCTAACTCCATCCATTTACCATTTTTTTTTTACCACCTACCTACACACACACACATACACATGAAACCATGTAAGAAAAAATAACATTGATCATTACAATTGTGGCTGCTTTTCATTTTCTACAGATATCTCCTAAATTAAAGTTATAGGTCTTTAATATACTTAATATACTTTACTATCTCATATATAAAAACCTGTGGATAATTCTATATTTCCTCATGAATAGATAGATATCTTTAAATTCTTTTATGGTTTTGTTTGCATTTAATAGTATTAATACTTCTAAATTTTTTAATAGCATTGGATAAGTATGAAATCACAGTGAAATGTTTTGCTTTTTCATTGTCCTTCCCACAGAATCAGGTGGTTATTTTTGTGGAAAGATACCTGATTGCTAAAGTTGGCTAGTCATGGAAATTTGGTGTATTGTTGTAGAAAAATATAAAAAATTTTTGAGACCATAGAACCAAGTGACCAGTACAATAAGAACATTTCCATTTTAAAATAGCAAAGCCCCTAAAAAGTCAGATAGTATTTATATGAATTATAAAAATCAACAAAATGGGAAATATGGTCTCATGTAATTATATCCCCTCCTTCCCCTGGCCCCAGTTCTTATTTCCAGATGCTGCTTCTGAAAAAACATTAGATGGAACTACTTCAATAGATAACAGTAATCTTCCATCAGAGAGTGAAGACTATGTAAGTTGGAGTTCAATATTAAAACATTTTAACTGCATTGAATTAACTGGGGTTGGATATATTTCTAGTTTAATAGCCTAAGTATCTTTTTATTTTAAAAATCATCTTTGGGAAATTGAATGGAGAGCAGAGTTTCCTGTAGAACATTGGCATAGATACATATTTGGAGTAGCAAGAATTTCAGGAAATATTGTGGAAAAAAAGCATAAACATACTGTGCCTAACTGTAGGATTTCCCTCATTTTAGAGTTTTTGTGAAATTGTTAAATTTGTTTTACAACAGATTCTTGTATATATTTCAAAACTGGACAGTGAGATGGAAACTAATGAAGTAAAATTTTCATATTCTACTTATCTGAGAAATGAGATTATTTAAATGACAGATGTAGAGATAGATCAAACTATTTAAATAGTTATTGTTGAAAAGTAGATTTCATAGAGTGGAAAAACAGAGCCTTTTATATTTTCAGTTTATACAGTTCTACTTTGTGTTTTTGTTTTGACAAGTATGTACTCATTTTATAATTAAAATATTTTTTGAACAGCACATGAAATTTGAAATGCATCTTAAAGATTCCAAAGAAGAAAATGAAAGCTGTAATTTTAACTTCACTTAAACTATAGCTTTACTTTTGGATCTTAGTAGAAATCTTGTAAATATGGATCTGCTTAAGAACAGTGTAGGCAGTAATGTATGAGACATATTGATAAAGCTAGTTTTTGTAAAGTTAATTTTAATATTAAAATCTCTTAACTTTTTGATTATGCACATAAATATGTTGTTAATAAGTTTTGCTTTGTTTCCATTTTGTTAAATTTAGAATCTCTACAATCAGTTCAAATCTGCACCATCCGACAGTTTAACCTATAAATTGGCTTTGTGTCTTTGTATGATCAATTTCTACCATGGAGGGTTAAAAGGAGTGGCACACCTCTGGCAGGAATTTGTTCTTGAAATGCGCTTCAGATGGGAAAACAACTTTTTGATTCCAGGGTAATAATTTCAGTTTCTAGTTGTTTGGTACATTTTTTGCTTGTTAGCCAACACTTGGCTTTTGACTGTTAAGTTTTCTCCTTTTAGGAAATCTGCCCAGAAAAAATGGTAAGAGACTTGGACATTACTTATGTTCATAGGTGTTTACTGCAGCACATTTATAATAGGGAAAAAGTAAAACAACATAAATGTCCACATATAAAAAAATAAATAATTCTCTATCTCTACAATAGAAAAATAGAAAGTTATTGATCCATTACAAATTTTGCTTTAAGAATCTTTGCCGGGCTCACGCTTGTAATCCCAGCSACTTGAGGCTGAGACAGGAGGATCACAAGTTCAAAGCAATGGCAAGACACTAAGTGACTCAGTGAGACCATGTCTCTAAATAAAATAAAAAATAGGTCTGGGAATGTGACTCAGTGGTCAAGTTCCTTTGAGTTCAATCCCCAGTACCTGCCCCCCCCCCAAAAAAAAAACCCAAAGAATCTTTAATAAAGTATTATAATATTTGTAATCAGGTATAGTATTAAATATACAGAATGCATTTGATTATGCCGATATGTGTTTATAAAAAAAGGATTGGAAAGAAATACTTCCAAATGTTATTAGTAGTTTTCCCAGGTATGAAATTGTTTTTATTTTATTTTTCATACTTCTTTTGTATTTCCTAAGTTTTCTATAACATATTTATTACTGAATAGAAAACATCTTTAAAGTTCATTATAAGTTCAGACATCAAACATTACCTATAAATTGACATTTAATCAAATTAATTTTAGTTAGTATGTGTGTGAGTTAGTGCTCAGATATCCATGCTAGGGAAGAGGAATAGTGATGTGATATGTAATGGTGATTAATCCAAAAATGTTGATTATTAAGTCATCTGTCATTCTCTATTTAGCTGGATTCTCTCTTGCTTCTGTTTCACTCTGGAACTCATTACAGATCCAGAGGCATACTGAATATAAGGGAGTATCTCTGGCTGATTGCCAAGAACCCAGTGGTTTAGAACTAGAGGGAATCTAGAATCGCACTGGCAAAATGGAGATCTTTTATAGTGAGAATTCACCATAGTATTTGAGAACTGACTACACAGATTGATTTACTTTATATGGTGCAAAACCCTGTATGCTAGTTACTTCAAGGGGTGGATTTAGAGACTTTTTCTCATTTTAAGTTTCTAATTAACCTGAAAGCTATTAGTAGTTTGTTGTTGGTGATTTGTGGATTAAGAGTATAAAATAAATTTGATCTTTTAATCATATGTGCTCGCCTTCTGGAACTTGGTTTCCTTACCTGTAGAAATTTAGTTTTGACTTCTTATCAATATAGCTAAAAATTATGGTAATATAAAAATAGGCAGATCTGAAGCAATTTTACTGAAATTAAACTTTATTTTCTCACTGTTTGGTAGGTTAACAGGTGGACCCCCAGATCTAAGATGTTGTTTACTGCATCAGAAACTACAGGTAAAGATTTCCCAATAGCAGTATATAAATGTGGTCTTGGTATATTTGGATTTTATTCTAATACTGGATAAAATAGTGGGTCATAGGCTGTTTTCATCATGTTGCTATAGGTTGCTGGTATGTGGTGCTGAGGATCGAACCCGGGCCGCACGCATGCCAGGCGAGCGCGCTACCGCTTGAGCCACATCCCCAGCCCAACTATAGGTTGCTTATAGTCAGTGCAGTTCACAAAAAGGTCCTGAGAAGTAGAGAATGAAAAAGGAAATATACAAGCAGTGGTTAGATTTTAATTTTTCTGTAACTAATTCAACTATAAATGTTATTTCTGTTTTCTTAAGATGTTAAATTGTTGTATTGAAAGAAAGAAGGCACGTGATGAGGGGAAAAAGACCTCTGATAATATAACAAATACATATCCAGGGGATGTTGGAAAAGCTGCAGACCTGTTGGGGCCAGACCATCGTAAAGATACAGATAAGGAAAAGGGAGAGGTGGGGAAATCTTGGGATTCCTGGAGTGATAGTGATGAAGAATTTTTTGAGTGCCTAAGTGATACTGAAGAACTTAAGGGAAATGGACAAGAGAGTGGCAAGAAAGGAGGACCGAAGGAAATGGTAAATTTAAAGCCAGAAGGACGTCTCCATCAGCATGGCAGGCTTACACTGCTACATAATGGAGAACCTCTCTACATTCCAGTYACTCAGGTAGGATGTGCTGGCTCTGCCAGTTTCTCTTTGTTATTATTTTTTAACTTCATTCTAGAAGGGAATGATTGCTTTGGGTAGGAGAATTTTTTTTAAAGTCTGTTAAAAGATGTAAGGTTTGAAATCTAAATTATCTTCTGGAGGCTTTTAGGTCTACCATTTCTGAAAATGAAAAATGTTTTGAAGTTTAAATAGATAGTAGCTTATCATGCATAAGGCAGTATGTTAAATTGAATATTGGGTATTCACATGTTTAAAGACAAAACCCCAAAACATGAAAAAATAAAAGTAACAGTTCTTCAATTATACAGCTAGTTTTTATTGTTCAAACATGCAATTTGAAGCCATTTTATACCATTAGGATGTAGAATAGCAACATCTAAGAAAGAATAGTTTCTCTTGGTTTGTTTTTGTATAATATGTGAAATAAATTTTGTGAAACATTCAGTTTAGAAAAAGTAGAAGCCACCACCAATTCAACTTCCAACCATAAAAGTAACTGCTATTAATGATTTTTAAATATATTCATGTACATATATGTTTACATATTAATGTGTAGTTTTATGGATTGCTTTTAAACATGTTCATTAGTGTGCACATTTTTGTTTAACATGTCTTGAAGATTTTTCCATGTAGATCTATTTCATTAATTTTTAATTGCCACATAATATCCCATGACATAGAAGAGTGATAGTTTATTTAATGACTTCAATCTTGATCACGGTGTGTTATTTGAAAATGTTACTGTGTAGTTTTTGTATGTTGTGTATATTTTTGTATATTTTCACATATAAATTCCACTGAGAAATAGAATAGCTAGTTAAATAGATATACAAATTACCAAGTTCTTTAAAAAGATATACTCATTGTGTACTTGAGTAATGTAGCACCTGTTCCCTTCCCAACTTTCCTTCCTCACTTTTTTCCCTTCATAAATATGTATACCAACCATGATTCTAGACCTTGAGAATTTAGTAGCAAATTAGATAATGAAATTCTTAGACTCATATTTAAAAAAAAAATAAGTTTTGGCCAATATTGATGATCAAAAGTAGTATACTAAGGTTTTAAATTTTATTTCTCTGATTTTTAATAAAACTAAATATCTTTCACTGTATTTTTTGGGCATCCTTTCTTCTGAATTATGGTTTAGCTTTAGTAAATATTTCTAAACAGCCTCTTAAAGCGACTGAATTAATTTATATCCCCACCAACAATGTATAGTAGTATGGTTATTCTATATCCTTTCTGCTTGATGTGTCAGGGTGTAAGAACAATCCCAAGTTGCTAGTTAAATAGATACATATGTTACCAAAATTTTTAAAAAGGCATACCCATGGTGCAATTTGCTGGGGGGACTCATAGGGCTCAGCATGTAGTAATGGCTATCATTGACTACAACAAAAGGATACAAAGCACAATTAGCAAAGGGAAAAGGCACATGAGATGAAAATTGGAGGAAATCCAAGCACAAGCTTCCAAGAATCTTTTGGCCGTGTAGTCACATAGATGTGCTTATTTCCTCCAACAATGAGCTGTGACTATGTATGTGAAATGTTGTCTACCAGAGAAGCTTTTAGAGATACAGTGGACAGGAGCTGGTCACTTAGGGACCCTTTGCTTAGTACCTACCAAAATTCAATACTCTTGGAAGAAAGCAGTGTTCAACATGAACCATCTTGTTTGCACAAATCATGTAGGTATAGTAAGCCACTTTTATGAGTTCTGGGAATGGTGGGGACCCTCCCAAAATCCAAGTTCCCAGATGGTAGTGAAGGGCCAACTTTGCAAAAAGCCCTTTCTGAGAATAGTGGTCTCAGGCTTGCTGTTAACTCTTTTCTGCACACTTGATATTTAAAATCTTTTTAATTTTGTATTTCTGGTAAGAATGAGATAGTATTTCATGTTTTTACATTTCGCTGATGAATATTACTGTGGAACACATTTTTTTCATGTTCTTATTTCCTATTTAGATGTCTTCTTGATATAGTTCCCACTCAAGGCTTTTGTGTAGTTGTTTATTGATTTTTTTCCCCCTTATTCCTTTGTAGGAATTCTTCATATGTTCTGGGTCCTTAGATATTTATATTACAAATATTTCCTCGTAGTCTGTTACTTTTCACTTTTTTGATGCTTTTTGTTGGAATAGATGTTCTTAATTTTAATGAAGTCTGGTCTGCCAGTGTCTTTSATGTGTGTAGAGTACTTTTGGGGTTCCATTTAAATCTTTACCTACCCYAAGACCCTAAAAATATTCTCATGTTTTCTTCTGGAAACTTTATAGTTTTCCCTATTTCATTTATGTTTGATTCACTTCAAGYTAGTTCTTTCTATTGGTATGAGGAAGAGGTTAAGATTATTTTAAATTATTCCATCACCATTATTGAAAAGATCTGTCTTTTCCCAATGGGTGGCTACTGGTGTTTTGTTTAAAGTCAAGTGACTATATGTGTTCATCTGTTTCTTGACTATTATATTTCGTTAGTTTTTCTGTGCTTGTGCTGATAATATACTATCATTATCACTGCAGCTTGATAATAAGCCTTTCTATCTGATAGTATCAGTTTCCTTTGTTCTTCAAGACTATATTGGCTATTAAAGATTTTGTATTTTTATGTCAGTTTCCCTGTACGGGTACATTTCAAAATCRCAGCATAAATTTTCTTATTGCATTGAGTTTATGGATCCATTTATAGAGAATTGACATCTTGGCAATATTAAGGCCTTGAAATACTCTTTGGTCTTACTAAAGTATGTTTTATTTCCACTGTAAAAGTCTTACATTCTTTTCATTAGATGTCCTGCAAGCATTTAATTTCTTAAATGTTATAAGTAGTAAAAATTTTTCATTTTCTAATTTTTCCCCTTGATATACATATAGATATACATGCAGAGAGAGAGAGAGACATATCTACCAAGTTTTCTACATTTCCTTATTATTTCTAGTAGTTTCAGCAGTATGGGATTTTCTGCATATAAAATCATGTTTGAAGACAGTTCAATTCTGATTTGCTAGTCTTTGTACTTTTTACACTGGCTAGCACTTCTAGTATTAGGGTTGAATACTAGATATCTTTTTCTTGCTTCCAACCTTAGAAGGAAAGTGTATGATAATTCATATTATAGAAGTTATATTCCTAGTTTGCCTAGAGTTCATGAATAAGTATTTCATTTTATCTAATACTTTTCCTGTATATTGAGGTACTCATATTCTGTTCTCATTTATGCTCTTAATGCAAATTGCAGCAATTGGTTTTTGATGATTAAAACATCCTTACATCCCTGGAAGAAGTCACACTTGGGCATTGCCCATTTTTATATAGCTGGACTTTTTTTAAGTTGCTTGGGGCCTCTCTGAATTGCTGAGGCTGACCTTGAGATCTTCCTGACTCATTGGGATTACAGGTGTGTCCCACCATGCCAAGCTCAATTTTATTTTTTTAAAAGGATTTTTATACCCATATATGAGAGATACTAGCCTTTAAATTTTCTTTCTTATAATGTCCTTGTCATTTTGTATTTCCTCTTTTTCTGTTTTCTAGACAAACATGACTATTAGTTGCCCACTGCCCAAAATAATACTAGACTTCATATAGGTCCTTGTTTTATTAAAAAAAAAAAACTAATATTTTACTGTGTTCCATTTATGTAGACTTAGATCAACCTAAAATGTATGGCTGGGAAAGTAAAGATTTTACCTAATATTCTAGAGACAGAGCTAAAAGAAGAGTCTTTAGTAGTTCTTAAAGTCATTGTCACATGGATGATTGTCTCTTCAATTTGCGACTTGAGCAAGGCCTTTTTCACTACACTTAGTCTGATCCCCTCATTGATCACATTCACAAATAGTATATGAAAATGTGTATTCCCCATGCTGCGTGCTGCTAATTCTCTTTATCCCCTCTGGTTGTACTAGGCTGAGATTTCCAGATAGGAAGAGATAGTCAGTACCCTTTCACCATCTGCTTCCTTCCCATTCTCTTATTTAGGGCTATTAAAAGTAGCCCCTTCTTAATAGAAGGAATGACTGTCTCTGTTCTTAAGTGTAGTGATTAATCAGAAATCCATGTAATTTGTGAACTTAACTAAGTATTTTTCCTTTTAAAAAAATTTAGGTATTTTAATAAGCATACTTCTCCTTTGTCAAAGGGGATGAAGTTTATAAGTATTTTAATTGGTAGTGTTTGAGCATGTGCCAGGATTTTATTATTTACAGCCCAGTCTCCAAAAAGTTGAGGATAACCCAAGGTCACAGAGCTAGAATTTGGGGATGGGCATGTTATCTCTGAAGCCCAGGCTTCTAACACTGTGCCACATATGTGGTCCTTACTGATTATCCATTACCCTGAGTATCAGTGTGATATTCTTGCTTGGTACTTGATATATTCATTATACAAAGAAAATAAGAATTCACATTCCATAACCAGAGATGAATCACTGTAGAGCAATTTATTCCCATTTTTCTATTACTTAAAAACATTGTTGCAACTAGTTGATGACATATAATATCAGTAGAACTTCATTTCTGTATCATAGTCATGAAAATATGCAATAGACCCAGATTTCTCTTTTAGCTCTCAATACTTGTCATGGGAAACCTGGTGATCTTGGGTGGGGGCATGAAAGTCATATTTATCCTTTTTACCTTTTTTATGAAGAYTCTGAAAAATGTTGCGCGTTTCTCTGAATTCTTTCAAATACATGTCTTGTGACTACTAGGGCAGAAGTAATTGTCTTTATTCTATTTTTATAGTTCTTTGTCTAAATAGGGCTGTTCATGAGCTTTGTCCTTTTATACTTCACAGGAACCAGCACCTATGACAGAAGATCTGCTAGAAGAGCAATCTGAGGTCTTAGCTAAATTAGGTACATCGGCAGAAGGGGCTCACCTCAGAGCACGCATGCAGAGTGCCTGTCTGCTCTCGGATATGGAGTCTTTTAAGGTGAGGCAGACTTTCAAAGCTCTAGGGTCTATTTTGAACTATTCTGGGCTGAAACTGTGAAAGTCACTCTACAAAGTGGTGTGAAGGCCTAATGTCTTTTTTTTTTAATGTTTGGATTTCAATAGTTATAACACCCTACCTCCATTCCCCCAAGGACATAGTCAAACTTGTCTCTTAAGTTTAAAAAAAAAAAAACCAACCTGTTATTAATAGTTGAGAATTGAATCATTTCTGTGTATTGAGATGCTTTCTTCCTCTGTGTATATTCAGCCAATTTAATTCAAGCCTTTTAAGAAGCCCTTAGGATTCAATGTAGGTCACTGCACTCAACACATCTTTGAGTGCTTACTGTGTGCCTCAAACTATGATTAGATAAGAAAATAGTGTTTACCCTCAGTTATAGTCTGAGGGAGAAGATGTGTAAATGATTGAGTTTTCAAAGGAAGCAAAAAGGTGACTGCTGAGTGGGTAAGGAAAGGTTTCTCAGAGAAGTCCACATTTTAGATGAGTATGTATTTGCTACCTGGAAAAGAATATTTTAGGCTGAGGTCTGTATATAGAACACATAGGATTCAGGTCATAGTGACATTTGGCTTTCTAAAGAAAGGACTTTTTTAGTTGTTATTTGAAAGCAAGTCCACCACAAGTGAAAAATTTTACACAATGGAATGCAGTTATTTAAAATAGAGGCTGGAATTGTGTGGTAAAGTACTTGCTTTCCATGCATGGGGCACTGG